AAGGTCGCTGCAGTTGATGAAGTAGTGGGTCATCGGCGGCAGGTTACTCAGAGCCTGTAGTGCCGAGTTCATATAGCAGGTGTTGGCTATGTTCTGGAGACCGACGAGTCCTGTGCCAGAGCCCTTGGCTTTGTCTTTGCCTTCACTGTCACTGGCACTCGAATCCTCTCGCCTGGCCAGCGAATTTAGCGATCCGCTGAAGAGTTTATCGTGACATCGGTAGCTCCTCGGGTCACCCATGGCATACCCGTACGCCAGCTGCCCGAGAGAAAATCGAAAGTCATGTAATCGTGCATTAAACAATGCCTACAAATACGAGTTTCGCCTGGAGCGGAGTTCGCCCTCCACACCTTACCTTGTAGCTCTGGCTGCTGTCAGCGGTGCGGTTGAGGTGCTCTACATGTGGATTGTACTGATTTGGGTTGGGACTCAAACTCATTATAGCTCCCTAACTGCCAGTATTCTGTATTTTTATATTTTAATTGAGAATTTTGATTGAAAACGACCGCAGAAAAGGCGTTTGCGATTTTGGATGGTATTTTTGGTATTCGCCGTAAGTGTGACCAAAGTTAAAAACCGTTAGTCAACCGGATACTTTTATCTAAAAGAATCTGAACGCGTATTAGTAATGTTTTCGCTTAAAATTTCTTAAGGCTTACTTCTCGAAGTAAATTTTATAACGAGTATAAATAATGGAAATGTTTTATAATTTTTTCCAATACGCTACATCTTGTTAAGAGCATCGCTGGCATGCTTTAAAACCCTCGGCCACACTAATTTAAAACTCGGGGGAAAAAACGCAGAAAATAGTTGAAAATGTGTATACAAAAAGTGTAACTAAGCGTTTTCATGAGTGATAAGGGTCAAGAGTTTATTGCGAGACGTTCGAGCGGCCAGTGATCGGCCTGGTTTAGTCGTCCCCACACCGGAATGGGTGACGCCTCATAGTTTTTACTGCATCTGCTGGCGGAGATTCGACTTCCCCCTCCGCTGTATAAGGTAAAACGGCCCTGCCTTTCCGCATTCCCTTGTGTAACAGACCTGCTTTTGCGCTGCTCCTGTTGGGGAATCGAATGTAAAAAGGACACATCCAAATGAATCATTAATTTGGAGCAGGCGATGAATGTACACGCGCCTCTGAGGGAGGCGTTACTGCCCACAGTCATTCAGGCCGCCAGCTATTACATCAATATCCGTTCATGAAGCAGCACTTTGCCAGCGAAACATCCCGTGTACGAAATGATAGAGCTCTATAATTATAGTTTTAGCTAATCGCGGATAGTTGTGCCCAACACGCAGGCCGTTGGAAGAGTGCCAAGGAGCCATCATGACGCTGGAGACGCAGCCCGTTGGCGGGGTGAGCGACGGCAAGATCGCCGGGCTTTATGATCTGGAGGAGACTCTGGGATCGGGACACTTTGCCGTAGTGAAGTTGGCCCGGCACGTGTTCACCGGCGCTAAGGTGGCGGTCAAGGTGGTGGACAAGACCAAGTTGGACGATGTGTCCAAGGCGCATCTGTTCCAGGAAGTGCGGTGAGTAGCTATAGCAATCTAACCCAACAATTTATTTAATAATCCCGCCGCACTTATCCTCTCTAGATGCATGAAATTGGTGCAGCACCCAAATGTTGTGCGATTGTACGAGGTTATTGATACCCAGACCAAGCTGTACTTGGTTTTGGAACTCGGCGATGGTGGCGATCTATACGATTACATAATGAAGCACGACTCTGGGCTCAGCGAGGAACTGGCCCGAAAGTATTTCCGCCAAATCCTACGTGCTATCACGTATTGTCATCAGCTTCACGTGGTTCACAGGTGAGAGCGCGCTCCAACTGATAGTACGCCGTAATGTGACGATCACTCATTTACGTAACATTTAATTCTCCTACAAAGGGATCTAAAGCCGGAGAACGTGGTGTTTTTCGAAAAGCTGGGCCTCGTCAAGCTCACCGACTTCGGGTTTAGCAACAAGTTCTTGCCGGGCCAAAAGCTAGAAACCTTCTGCGGCAGCTTGGCCTACTCGGCTCCAGAGATCCTGCTTGGCGACTCATACGATGCGCCTGCAGTCGGTATGTCAACAACAACAATGTCCTATAACCCTTTTTTTTATAATTGTATCCGATCCTTTCAGACATTTGGTCTCTGGGAGTAATTCTGTATATGCTGGTCTGCGGTCAGGCGCCCTTCGAGAAGGCCAACGACTCGGAAACTCTGACTATGATCATGGACTGTAAGTACACGGTACCCTCGCACGTGTCCACTGATTGCCGGGACCTAATTGCCTCAATGCTGGTGCGGGATCCAAAGAAACGGGCCACTGTGGAAGAGATTGCTTCATCGGCCTGGCTAAAGCCAATTGATGAGCCCGACTCAACGACCTCCACCGCAGAGCACTTTCTGCCTTTGGTCAGCCGCGAACAGTTGGGCGAAGAGGATCACGCCTTTATCATACAAAAAATGATAAACGGAAACATTGCGTCCAAGGAAGAGATATTGCAGTAAGTATAGCTAAAATATTAAATAAATTTCTTCTAGCTAACGCCAAGTGACGTCATTACAGAGCTCTTGACAAAAATAAGTACAATCATATAACAGCCACATATTTTTTGTTGGCGGAATTACGTCTGCGACGGCGGCGAGAAGAGCTGGCTCAGAAACAGAGGCTTCTCAATGATGCCAGCATGAAGTGAGTTTAAATTATAGTCAACTTGGATTCTTAATCTATAATATAAATATTCAGAGTGGGAGATGCGAGTCGCAAGCTAGTGCCTGAGAAACCAAGTCCAACAGAAGCCCAGAAAGGAGGAGTACCCATCAGCATTAACGTGACTCCAGCAGCTCAGTTTGCCAACGACGGTGGCAAGCCGGTAAGCTAATTAGTAATCGATTTGAACTGCAGTAAATCTAATTAATGCAAGTGCTCTTGACAGGACAAGCGCAGTCGCAAATGCAGCATTGTGCGTGAGGAGGACGAAGAGGAGTCTGCCACAGAAAGCTCGGCGATAGGCAATGAATTGAAGGTAACGTCGTCGCGTCGTGAGGCCTCCTCAGATTCGCTCTTTAATAGGTCAATGCATGAGCGTTCCAGTTCTGAGCCCGGTAATCAAACGAAAGGGGAACAGATAGGTAATAGCGGAGTGCCAAGCCATTCACGTACAAAGATTGTCGTCTCGGTGGATGCAACGCTGGCCCATAAGCTCAAGCAAATGGAGAAGAGTGCCAAGATAGATGAGGACACCCTAAGTGGTCTGAAGGAGCTGGAGATCGGCAAGCTCAAGCCCCTTCCTAGCAGTAGCAAGAATCCGGTGCTCACCCACCGCCGCACAAAGCTGAACAAGATTCGGACGCCTTCCTGTAGCAGCTCGGAGGCCTCCGACGACGACACCAAGACACGCAACAAGAAAAAGATTAACAAATTTGTCGGCGACACGCCAGTGCGGTTTCGCATGCATCGGCGAGACTCGCATGACGACTCCAGCGACTCGCAAGATCAGCTATATCCGCCGCCCGGCTCGGCCGGCAATGCTGGTAGTTTTATATCCAAAAGCGGCTCCGTAAGTGGCAAAAAAGAGGGACAATCGCAGTATAAAGAGGTATGATTATTATTGCATACTTACCAGGGAGACAGTTACTAAAGTCTCATTCTCGCTTTTAGCCAAATAATAAATCCGATGAAAATCGCAAATCTCACAGCCAAAAAAGTCGGAAACAGCACAAGGATCATGTTGACAAGCATTCCCACGCTGAGAGGCAAGTGGCGGATAGCACCACAGCTACAACAGGAAATTCCACGAATAGGAGGCGACGCATTCGCGAGAGCCAGTCGCTGGACCGTATCACAGAGGCTCAGGAATACGAGATGCGGCATCGATGCTACGCGGAGAGCGAGGCAGCATCCTCGTCGTCCTCGTCCACCCAACATATCGATCAGAGATACTCTTTACTCAGCCTAAATACTAGCACATTCTCCGTTGCCGAAACGAAGGAAGAGTACGACGAGGAGGCAGACGCCACAAATGCCACGGACCAAATCATGAATACTTTGAATGCAGCCAAAGCAACGCTTCAACAAGAGCAATATTTTAATAACAATACCAATCTTAGTAGGAACTTCAATCACAACAACAACAATCACACCCAGACCATCATCCACATCAGCAGCCAGAAGCCAGCAGCAAACAGCAAGAAGTCCAACGAAACACCAAAAGATATTTATAATCTAAACTCAATCGAGCAAATCGATTTGATTTTGGAGGATAAAAGCCTTACCAAAGCAATACACGTTACCGGCTCTAAATGCTTTGTCACCATGAAGAAAATCCGACGGCTGGGAAAATACTTTCCCGTGATGAACTTCTCTTAATAGACACAGTTACTTCTTTGCAAAGTGCATTCTAAATATTAAAACAATTTCGGTTAAGCGAAGTACATAGAAAATATGCATGTATTAATTAAAACGTATAGACGTCAACGTTATCCCCCGTATATAGGAAAGCGCGCGAGAATATTTAAATTTAGTGGTAGCGTAATTGTTTTGTCTGTCGTCGTCATTACGCTTAAATTATTCTAAATATATTAATTTATGTATAATTGTAAGTCTAATCACTCAATGCAATATTTAGTGAAAATACATTAATGCCCATATGACAATTGAATAAAAAGAGAATACTTTATTTCAAAATCGCCCCACAATTAAATGGAACAAAAGAGACTAGGCGATTTGTACGATATGATCATTCAAATTTTTGCGCCCTGCGCCAGTGTATACACACCCTAAATAATGCAGAGTTAATAAAGCGTATAAGGCAAAAAATATTGAACTCCTTAAAGCTTTCAAAAGGTAATTACGAAATGATGGTATCACAAAGCTTTTAAAATACTTTTTAATTATTGTTCAACTTTTAAATAACTAATCATAAGAATTACAAAATAAAAAACATACTTTTGTATTTTACAAAACTTTCCATGTAAAATACGATGTACCTAATGTAGGTACACAGAACGAGTACTACCACCCCTCTCAACTATGGTCACACTGACCACATCCCGTAAAGAGTTTTTCAGAGATGAGTTTGCGGCAGGAAAATTGAATAATTCACGGAAATAAACAAAGTAAACTAAGTGGAAGCTGTAAACCTGACCAGCAATTATGTTGCGCATCTATCAAAATACATACCGGTGAGAATCCACGCCCAAAACGTGAAAACTCTGAGCTTTACGTGCCCATTTTCCGGACGATTTCGTCATCGGCGAGTCTTCATCCAATGTGTTTTGCCCACAGGCGCACCGCGAGAAAAGCTGTTGTCTACTCCACCAAGGTCGCCTGCTGCAATCATTCCACGCTCTGTGGCATCACCAGTCACCCACGTCGATCGCAGGACAATGGGAGCTCCAGTTCAAATGGCAGGCACCGTCGCCACGAGGAGTTCTTACTTGCCGGCAATTCGGCCAGGGGCTGGCAGATGCCTCCGCCGTCGCGTGGTTACGGGATGCTGGTGGTACGCATCCTGCGGGGTGCCCTCAAGCTGCGATACCTCGTCTTGGGCGGCGCCATCGGCGGGGGCGTGACGCTGAAATCAGTGAGTTTCGCAAGTTATATAACGTGTATTGAACTTAAGAGACATGACTTGTTTTCCCCAGAAATACGAGGACTGGAAGGATGGACTGCCTGATTTTAAGTGGCTGGAGGATGCCATGCCGCAGGGCGAACGGTGGAGCCAATTCTCGCGGAATCTCATTGAGGTGGGCTCGCTGGTGAAGAACGCCATCGATGTCGGTGAGTGTCCATATTGCACTACCTTCCCCCTTTCAATCTCTCACTTTAAATGGTCATATACCTTGGTCAGATTCGCATTGAACTCTTCGTTTTGATTGATTTTTCGCACTGAATGATACTGATGTTATTGGGGCGTTTGCTTGTAGATCCAAAGCTCAAGCAGCTGGGCGAGGATAAGTTGTCGGAATGGCGCAACTGGTTCGACAGTCGTCTGGATGATGCCATCGAGGCGGCCGATTATCAAGGAGTTCAGATTGTCGAAAGTAGGTTACACAAATACACAGACTCCCAACGTTGGGCCAATTTAAAGTGAGAGACCCCTGTCCACCGCACTCGAGACTTATTCTTAACATCTGTTGCAGCTAAAGATGACTTAAAAGCGAAAACAACGGTGGCCGCCTTAGGCATAACATCCGATGAGAGTCGGAAAAAGTATGGTAGGTTTTTTGCTCACCTGCAAAAAGAATATTATACATAATTCTTCTGTGATCTCGCAGAGAAACTCCAGAGCCAGGTGGAGACGCTACAGACGGAGATCATGAACGTCCAGATTAAGTACCAAAAGGAGCTGGAGAAGATGGAGAAGGAGAATCGCGAGCTACGCCAGCAATACCTCCTCCTCAAAACGAACAAAAAGACCACGGCAAAAAAAATCAAAAAGTCCCTGATCGACATGTACTCTGAGGTCCTGGATGAGCTATCCGGCTACGATACGGGCTACACCATGGCCGATCACCTTCCCCGTGTTGTGGTAGTGGGAGATCAGAGCAGCGGCAAAACCTCTGTGCTGGAATCCATTGCTAAGGCTCGCATCTTTCCCCGCGGCAGTGGAGAGATGATGACGCGAGCCCCAGTCAAAGTTACTCTAGCTGAAGGCCCATATCATGTGGCTCAGTTCCGTGACTCTGACCGGGAATACGATCTCACCAAGGAGTCTGATCTGCAAGACCTTCGTCGTGATGTGGAGTTCCGCATGAAGGCGTCGGTGCGAGGTGGTAAAACTGTCAGCAATGAAGTGATTGCCATGACGGTCAAAGGTCCCGGTCTGCAACGCATGGTTCTAGTCGATTTGCCAGGAATAATTTCGGTGAGCAAGTCAATACTAGTGAAACTGCATACATCTAATGCTAATTTTATTTTAGACCATGACTGTCGACATGGCTTCAGATACAAAAGATTCCATTCACCAGATGACCAAGCATTATATGAGCAATCCGAATGCCATCATTCTCTGCATTCAGGATGGATCTGTGGACGCTGAGCGCAGTAATGTGACGGACTTGGTCATGCAGTGTGATCCCTTGGGACGACGCACTATTTTTGTGCTCACAAAGGTGGATTTGGCCGAAGAGCTCGCGGATCCTGATAGAATAAGGAAAATCCTTTCGGGCAAACTCTTCCCCATGAAGGCTTTGGGTTACTATGCCGTCGTTACAGGTCGTGGCCGAAAGGATGACAGCATCGATGCTATTCGGCAGTACGAGGAAGACTTCTTTAAGAACTCCAAGCTGTTTCAGTAAGTATAGAGAGGATGTGATGGGCAAAATCCAAAGTTCACCTCTCTCCATACTTAGTCGTCGAGGGGTTATCATGCCCCATCAGGTGACCAGCCGCAATCTGAGCTTGGCGGTGTCCGATCGTTTCTGGAAGATGGTGCGGGAAACCATTGAGCAGCAGGCGGATGCATTTAAGGCGACTAGATTTAATCTGGAAACGGAATGGAAGAATAACTTTCCCAGGTTTGTAAATCAGTTTCAAATAATTACAGATCCATGACATATGAGGTATAATCTTTTAGATTGCGCGAGTCTGGCCGAGATGAGCTGTTCGACAAGGCAAAGGGCGAGATCCTGGACGAGGTGGTAACGCTCTCGCAAATCTCCGCCAAGAAGTGGGACGACGCTCTTAACACCAAGCTGTGGGAAAAGCTCTCCAACTATGTGTTTGAAACCATCTATCTGCCCGCTGCACAGTCAGGTTCTCAAAGTAATATTTTGTAGTGCTAAGTGTAGGTTGTAAGCAGGCCTCGCCGACGTCATCGATGGGGGCACGTCCATCCAATCGCCCGCCTTGTGCTCCGTCATTGTGTGTGTTTCTTGCAAGATATGACTTGGCCTCGAACTTCACGTGACTCTGCAAGCGTCGCGTCGTTAAAATGTTTTGTTTAATTTTGCATTTATCATGGCCCGCATTCGGCATCGAATTCCCGTGCAAGGGAATCACATGCGTTCAAGAATTCCAAACCGGTTTGAGATTCCTGCCACATTTCTTGAATCACATGTGTAAATTTAATGTGTACTCCCCGGCGGACGATTTCGAATCCCATTAACACCGTTTGCCTTTGCCCCGAAAGTAGTGACTAAGCCGGGATTGTCACAGGTTCTGCGTTACAGTCATGTGCCGGAAAGCATCATAAGCAAAGATGTACGAGCACCTGTAACGAAACCAGATTTTGGTTTATGTCCACATTATAAAAATGTATGCGTTATTAGCGATTTATGACCGAAAAACCCGTTCAGCGGGTGTTTATTTAGCATTTTATGACAGACCCGTTAATTTGCTCAATGAATTCATCCAAATCAATGTCTAATTGAATTAAATTGCAGTTATCGAGTTAGGAATCTGAATGTTTTGGCTTTGTTTATCATTCCCTCGTAGTTGTGTGTCTACTTAATTTGGCTCAACTAATTTCATACGATGACTATGCTCTTTATAGATTCCTTCAACACGATGGTAGACATCAAGTTGCGCCAGTGGGCCGAGCAGGCACTGCCCGCTAAATCGGTGGAAGCTGGCTGGGAAGCATTGCAGCAGGAATTCATATCCCTGATGGAGCGCTCAAAGAAGGCGCAGGATCACGACGGCATCTTCGATCAGTTGAAGGCCGCGGTGGTGGATGAGGCTATTCGGCGGCACAGCTGGGAAGACAAGGCCATCGACATGCTCCGCGTTATCCAGCTGAACACGCTGGAGGATCGTTTTGTGCACGACAAACAGGAGTGGGATTCGGCGGTTAAGTTCCTGGAGACTTCGGTGAGTGCCAAGCTTGTGCAGACGGAGGAAACGCTGGCACAAATGTTTGGACCCGGACAAATGCGACGCCTTACCCACTGGCAGTACCTGACACAGGACCAGCAGAAGAGGCGAAGCGTTAAGAACGAACTGGACAAAATACTCAAAAACGATACGGTATGTCTATACCTTTAAAAGGTATTCCTCCCTTACACACTTTTCATTACATTGGCAGAAACATTTGCCCACCCTGACTCATGATGAACTGACTACGGTACGCAAGAACCTTCAGCGTGATAACGTGGATGTGGACACGGACTACATAAGGCAAACGTGGTTCCCGGTCTACAGAAAGTATGTTGTATTGCCAAACCATCTAGGCTGCTTATCAGTGAGCACAATATATCCCCTTTTCAGACACTTCCTTCAGCAGGCGTTACAGCGGGCAAAGGATTGCCGCAAGGCCTATTACCTCTACACGCAGCAGGGAGCCGAGTGTGAGGTAAGGCAAAAGGTTTTACGCTTAGCTGAACCAACTTACTTAATTTCTTTTACTTACTGCGTTCTTAGATATCCTGCAGCGACGTTGTGCTCTTCTGGCGCATCCAGCAGGTGATCAAGATAACAGGCAACGCACTGAGACAGCAAGTAATCAATCGGGAGGCGCGTCGGCTGGACAAGGAGATCAAAGCGGTGCTGGACGAGTTCAGCGATGATGAGGAGAAGAAGGGTTATCTGCTCACCGGCAAGCGCGTGCTACTAGCCGAGGAACTAAGTGAGTGTTTGCTTAATTGAGTTTGGCGCCAATTTAATTGCTTTAAATTCAACAGTCAAAGTGCGACAGATACAAGAGAAGCTAGAGGAGTTCATCAATTCACTTAATCAGGAAAAGTAGTGTGCCATGACCAAAGACACAACACCCGAGACGTTACTTATTTAACTTGATAGTTTAAGGCCACATTTGGAATGTTTGTTCATAGTCACGCTTGAGCCCCTTAGTTAAGCATACTTTGTGCTCCGAAAGTAATAAACCAATAGATCGTTAGTTCGTATTATTGAAATCGTCTTTATTGTTTATGAAATGTAACCTTATGTCGCATGCAATGCAATGTAAACTCATTAATTTAAATGTAATATAAATCATTCATTCTGTCCTAATGTTATTGTAGTTGACAAACGTAAACGCGAAACGCACTCATCGTGCTGAGTATGTAGCGGTCCGTGTGTGTTTCTGAATCTGTATCCGTGTAATATATAAATCGGTTTGCATAAGAGCACAGCACTTTTGCCAGATGCCTCATCGTGCGGCTGATTGCTTGTTTTGCTTCGTCCACGATCGGCTAATCCCACGATGCGGCGGCATCGGTATCGAGATCGGTGGTGGGTGCATTAACCCCGACCGATCGTCTGGCCGCGTCGCTAATTGATTGATTGATAAACGTACGTATATCTAGCTAGCTATGTAACAAGTCCGCGATGGCGGTGCAGTACCATATCTCTTACAAGGTAAACAAATGCTCGTTCCCTATCATGTTAAATAACTCAACAAACGATTCTTAACTTGGCAGTCGACTTGTGGCCCAGCCATAGCCATGTGCTCAGCTGCTTACGGCTATCGTAATAGTATTAATAATGTGTTCGGTTCTCCTCCACTCCGATCCTCCGCTTAGCCTAGCTGCTAAATTCTAGTCCACCTAGGGGCTCCTCCACTAAAGCTTATAGAAACATAATTTACACTCGCTCCATTCTGCTGTTATGCGTGTGATTTGGGTTTGGGTGTGTGTGATAGGCACTCGATATCGCTGAAGGCACAACATTACGATTAGTCTTATCTTAACGTATTAAGTACTCGGAACACGCTTCCGCACTCGCTTCCCTCCGACATCGGTAATTCGGAATATCGGGAGCTCCATCGACATGATGAGTGATTGGCAATTAATGTTGCCAATACCGAAAGGTGCTATCGGAGATAGTTGTGGCTGCGATGACAAGGTGTTCAGGCTGTCTGGCATGTCTTCTCCTGCTCCGATCCAAGCAGCTCCTTAGGCCGCGGGTAGGGGGGTCAGCTTCTCGTTGCGCCGCTCCTCCCATCGGCTGACCCAGGTGAGCGGGTAGCACAGGAAGGCCGAGAGTAGGATTAGTCCGCCAGCGAAGTAGAAGGCGGCGTTGTAGCTATCTGTCGCCACGTAGAGGATACCTGTTGGATATATACATCTTTAGTTCAAGTTTCTTCCGATCACTAAGTAAACTGTACACCATTCCCACTTTTGTAGAACACTCACCTGCAATGGGACTGCCGAAAGTAGCCGCCAATCCCTGGAACAGCATGAGGAATCCGTATGCGTTGGTTAGTTTCTCCAGTCCGATCAGATCCACGGCGATCAGGGATCGCAGGGCCGAGAAGCAGGCAATGCAGATACCGAAGAACAGGGCGAAAGTCCACTGGCTGGCCGTGTTGATGACCACGCCGCTTAAGATGGTAGCGACGCCGCCGGCGGTTAGAGCAAAGTTGTTTAGCCAGAGAGGCTTGACAGCAGGGAAGGAGCTAATCGATCCGCATACAATCCTAGCAAATGTGTTTACAACGCCAATTCCGGAAAGCACTCCATAGGCCGTCTGCTCATCCATACCCGCGTCCTTGGCGCGATCCACCAGGAAGGTGAAGGGCACGAAGAAGCCCATCATGGTGAGGAAGCCGCTAAAGGCCAGGCACATGAAGGCGGGAGACTTGAGCAGCGTGGTGTCCAGCATGGTGGATAAGGTGCGACGCACTGCCTCCGGACAGATGCGGCATCCCTTCTGCCGATCCTCCAGCATGTCCTGCTTGGTGGGTAGACGAGTCACAGACATGTGATAGGCCAGCGAGGTTTGTGACTGGTACTGGGGAATCCTGGTCAGAGATCCGGAGAAGAAGATATCATCTCGGTACATGGGTCTGGATGAGTGCGACTGTCCATGGTGCGTCTCGTGAGCGGCAGCGGCCGATCGCTTGCCAATGTCCTGAGGTCTGCGTCCTGATACAGTGTGTCGGCGTGCCTGGATGGACACTGGCTTGGCCTCTGTCTCCAACAGGTTATCGTTCTCGGCCTCCTCCTCGTTCTCACCCACGGTGGTCAGTTCCTTGTGTAGGTTGAAGGTGAGCTGCTGCGGATCTCCGTTGGGGGTGGTGGGCTGCGACTTCCTGAGCTGTTTCAGTTCCGTTCCCTTGCTGCCCTGGGCCGTGCCCGATGGTCGGCGCTCCAGGTTCATGCCCTTGAAGATCTCCTGGGCGGTGGGATAATGGTTGCGCTGCGAGGCACCCATGTACGTATTGTGGGCGGAGTTGGGCATCGAATAGGCAAAACGACCCTCGGGCAGGGGTTTGGTGAAGGCGGCCTGGTGGAGTTGCGGCGTGGGGGCCACCGTATTGCCATGACCATTCAACTTCTTCTTCTCCTGCTCATCTCCCTCCTCGTTGGTCACAGACAGCGTAATGGGTTGGATGGGTCGGAAAGCCAAGCCAAAGAGGGCACACGACAGCACGATGACTCCCTGGATGGCAAGCGTTTGGCGCCACCCGCTCTTCAGAAGGATTTTGGTCAGTGGGGCGAACACAAAGGTGCCCACTCCGGAGCCGCACATGGCAACTCCGGTGGCCAGGGCACGCCACTTCTCAAAGTAGAATCCAATGATCACCACAGCGGGTATGTACACCATGCAGAATCCAATGCCTCCGAGCACGCCGTAGATTAGGAACAGGTACTCCACACTGGTGGCAAAGTAGGAGAGTCCGAAGCAGATGGCTCCGAATATGGCTCCAGTGATCGTGACCGGACGGAATCCAAACCGATTGGCCATGGCACTAACAAAGGGTCCCGCCATCAAGTAGCAACCACTGAGCAACGAGGATACGAACGCCACGTAGGCCTTACTCACACCAAACTCCTTCATCAGCTGCTCCTGAATGAGTCCGGAGCAGAAGACGATGCCGTCGATGACCGTGCAGCAGAGGAAGGAGGCCACCATCACCACCCAGGCCCATCCGCTGTCCGGAGGAACGACGACGGCTGCCTCCTCGATTTCCTCCTCGCTCTCATTCTCCTCCTTTATGTTGTCCGGCTGCTTGGACACCAGGCCTTTGGATGCCAGCTCGTCCTGCGACTTGGTCTGTTGCGTTGCCATTGCCTGGAAGAAAGATCAGTTCAGTGTGGGCGCACCCAGGCAAGATCGGGTTGTGTGTGTTACGCAAGTGTTTACCCAAACTGTGTGGCCTTCACATTGCGTATACGCCCCCACGACTCCCTTTGGTTTGCATGGATAAGTCTATTTTTATATGTCACGTGCCCCGATTGTCGCACCATTGAGCATACAACTGCACCTGTACCGATACTATGTGGGTCACAACAATAGGGTCACAATTTGGGCGATTAGAAAGGACTACGTCCGGCAATGGATTGATGCTTTCAAAATACAGGTTTGTAACACTTTTCTTTCTCCCAAGTGTGACTTTATAAAGCAGACAGACAATTTATCAGATTTAAGTAATCGTATGTATCGTATTTATACCCGTTTCAGCACAATCACTGTGTAAGCACAAACAAGTGTTCATTGCCTTACAAACAGATCAGGTAAATACACTGAAGGGTATTTCACAATCTGATATGAGAATTTTAGATCCAGCACTACGAATCTGCCCCCTACTATACACATGTATCTGTGGGATATCTGCAAAGGTGCGTGGTGCGAAGGCTTTTGCTGTTTATCACATCGACGTCAATCGGCAGATGGCACTGACAGGGGGGCGTTCATCGCTGGGTGGTGGGTGGTGGGTGCTGTGGGGGTTGTGGGGGTGGCAGGTGGTGCTTCAGTGGGTGGTGGATTGTCAAAAGTCAGACATGGCCAATGCCAGGGCCATTAGTGCGTCAACGATTGTCTTGGCCAAGCACAGGCCCAAAAACCAAATGGAATTTGCAATTAATATACGAGTATGTATCCGAAATGGTTCTTTCATTTGCCCGAGGAGCAGTCTTTCAACTCGACAATATTCAGAGAACTCAATATGCCAGGCACACCAGTACGAAAAAATGTTCTGTGGATTTTGGGCTTTTTTCTGTTGATTGCTTTTCTTGTTTGTCCACATCTTTCGGCTAACAAACTCTTGGCCTTGGCGCTGGCTTTGTTGCCATTGTTGCCTTTATCTAATCTGATCTGCCGAGGGCAATTCGCCATAGAGTTGGCAAACGCATGGCTTCAGCTGGAGCGGATGCTTACATGGATCCGCTGATCCAGACCCCTCATAAGCACACGAGTCAAGATGAGCTCTCTTTTGTCTTCTGTAACCAAAGCGAAACCTATCTTCCACCAGATCTGAGATAATCGGAGATAAAAGCGTCGTATCTCACTGCAAATTGAAGGGATTTACGATGGCCGAGATTTCATCGTTGGAGATATAGCCGGATAACTGACTGGTAATCGCTGGCTCCTGATATCCCAACTTTTGCGGCTGCATTCCATAAATTAATTGATTATTTTGCCAGATTTTGAGGCTTATCAAGTCGGATTTTCGCGGCCCGGCGACGGTTTAACCGCATAGTGAACTGCTTATGGCCCCCAGATACGGGGTTTCGTACCTAGCAACCGTGGTGCCTCCAGCTCCACCTCCACGTCCACGTCCACCACGTGACAGGGCCCAGTTTGATAATTTCATTGCCTTTATGGCAGAAATTTCGGCCATATCATTGACCAGGCGAATTTATGGGATCCCATAAAGACCTCGCGTCCCGATAGTACAAGGGTCTGGCTGTGCTGGCTTTTGTTTATTGAGCAATCGAAAGTGTTGCGACAACCATCCTCGAGCCACTCCAAGCACAATAACATAATACTGGTCGCACACCCTATCGGGAGACCCCTTCTCGTATTTCAGATTTTGTTTTCATTTTCATGCCCAAATGACCACGTTGGCGGCATGGGGAAGTGGGAAGTGCTCCAAAGTGGAACTGCGACCGGGACCCAAGGCATCAAGAATCGAGAATCAAGAACCGAGAACCAATAACCGAGATGTGGCAACCGAACC